AACTATGTAAAAGGAGCGAATATTATAAATTAAAAACAAAAATTTTATTAAGTAAGTCCTTTTAAGGCCCAAAAAATATCCCAAAATTTGACCAAATAAGAAATACGCCTATTTTTTACTTATTAAATATATATATATATATATATACAGTGTGTTAGTGTAAACACCGTTATCGTTGAAACCAGTGGTTTGGTTTCACTTATAGAACGTAAATTCAATGAAAAATAACATTTTTTTAAGTAAAATCTCAATTTTTCGTTAATTCCTCAATTTTTGCCTGTTCTAAGCCAGGGTGAAAGTATGAAGGAAAAGTTACAACACAGGTTATGTGTACCAATTTTGTTTTTATTGGAATGTTGTGTAGGTAGCTAGCGCGGGCGCTGATCTTTACAGTGATTACGTCACTCGAGCGCATATGGTATCCATAAATTTACGGACGGTGTCGGACAGAAACTTTTTAAATTTTACAAAAGTACAGATTAATACGAAAATAAATATATTTATATATGTATTTTCGTATTAATGTGACGTAGTTATTTTTTGTCGTTTTCAATATTAAGTCTTTTTTCTTCGTAAAATTGCACACCCTGATTCAAACATAACTCATAGTAGCAATTTAAAGAACGCAACGGTTTTATTAAAAAAATATTAATAAAAATTATAAATAAGTAATGTTTATAGAGATCATTTAAGAACAACTGTTCGTATGTAGGGCAAGATTTCAATTAACCTGTCAAGTTATGATAAATCAAAAAAATATGTATGATAAATCAATTAAAGTTGAGCAGATAAAAATTTTCAACACGAACTTTTATTACTAAATTAGTCCAGTAGGAATCGGCGCATGAGTACCGAAAACTATTCCACCTCAATTATTTTATGCGATTCTCTTCAAATTGTCCTACTGATGATATAAATGTATGTTGCCATGGGACGACTCGGTGCCATATTGCTTTCCGACTTGACATACCTACGAAAGAAACGTGTATTCCTAAACTGAATCTGGTACAAAGATAGCGGCTTGACATAGTGCTGCGCACTATACTTAATCTTATTTAGAAAAAGATTCTTTCGTGTGATTCGTCTCAACCACCCGTGTGGTCTTAGATAGGTCTTTTTAAAATCAATATGACGATTGATGACGATGATGACGATGATTTTTGGCGCCAAATTGTTAGTCCTTAATTTTTTTTACTCAACCTATCGATAGGGGTATCAAAATAAATGAAATTAAAAGGAGATTACTGAAATATATTATAAGTTATACCTATGTTTTCAGTTCATTACTTTTAAGCAGTCGTTTTTGTTTTGTTTTTATATTGTAACTCTATCAATTACATTATAATAATCTATAATTAAAGTTACAATTATTTCCCGGGAATTACTTTACAAGAAATATTAATTAAAGAATTTTTGTTTGTTTGTTAGACAATAAATTAGGCTCAGACGTCATACTCACACTAATCAAACTTTAATAATTGCAAAAGTTTGAATATTTATGCCTCAATCACGCCAAAAGTATCAGACCAGTTTGAATGTAATAATTTGGCACACAAATAGTTTATTACCTGAATTAACATATGGGATATTTTTATCCCGATTTATAGGTCTCGAGGAATAGAATAAGAAATTCCGTAATAATCGAATTCCACGAGAGAAACATATGAAAATAACACACTCACCTCACTAAAGTAGCATTGACAACTGATATAGTTGTCATTGACTGTGACAAAACATGGCGTCCGGCCGCAGCGAAAAAATTGTTGCCATATTCGGTAATGATAAAACTACTGTTGTCCTTGAAATAATACTAGTTTTTACGGAATTTATCGCGTATATTTAACTTTTTAAATACCCGACGTTTCGAACGTTTTACAGCACTCATGGTCACGGGCGGGACTGAGATGTTCAACGTCCAGATATCATAGTTAACCGCGGTTACCATAGATTAAAGTTTAACTTTTGTTCCGATCTACACAGTATGAACTTATGGTATCTTGAAGTCTTGCAGTTGTATGCTTGGGTTGGGATTTAATTTAATTTATTATAGGATCCCAAGCAGATGGTAGCACCCAGCCATCTTCTCTATTGAAATTAGGATGTTTTTTGATTTCAATATCCTCGCGAATCATCCTTGGAAGGAATCGGTTTTCTTTAGCGAGGATTTGTGGATTTGTGTTCACAGACTGCAGACTTCCCCGAGCGTCTATTGTTTATCATATTACTGATAGTTTTCAAATACTCAAGTATGCAAGATATTTTTCGTTTGCTCCCCTTTTTTTATTCTTAGAAAAAAGGGCTTTGTCGCTGAAGCGATTATGACGCCCTGGTACAACAAAATTCTTAAATAGGATAAATACTAACAACTGTATAAACTTATTAATTACTTAATCTCTTATTTATTAACACATAAAGTTTTTTGGCATCTTCTGATAACGGGTCTGATAAAATACTATTAATACTGCCAATCAATGACAAATGTATATTACAATTTTTTCTTTCTCTGGAGTTCTGGACACATTCTATCAATATGTGATAAACATCATCGATAATGTTGCAAGTTGAACAGTTTGGTGAGGTAGTTTTTTGCATCAAGTATGAAAATTTATTGCATGGAATGTGCCCAGATCTGAGTCTTAATGCTATTACAGTGTCGCGTCTACACAATATTTGGTTATCTATCCAGGTTAAGCGCACTGGGTGCGGCTGGATCGTACGGTACCATATACCCTCCTCTTTTGCTCTTATATCAAAATATTCCTTCCAAAGCTCATAACAATTTTTTATAATAACGGTATATAATTTTGAAATGAATGGGGTAATATTAATATCAGTGCCTTCTGAAATAGCTTGTTTGGCTAAAATATCAGCCTTTTCATTAGCCTCTAAGCCAATGTGCGAATGTATCCATTGTAAATATACTATTATGGAGTCAGCCTGCAACTTAACTAGAAGCTTTAAAATTGCATATGCTACTGGTAAGCCTCGAAAAACCGAAGTACACCGAGCAAGGTGTTGAAGCGCACTCATTGAATCTGTTAAAATAACCACATTGTTATAGTTGCATGATTGTATATAGGATAAAGCTTCATAGATTGCTACAAGTTCAACTTCCATAATAGAAATATTAGTATTAATTTTTAACTTTATTGCCATATCATTTAATACATCGTAAAATGAAGCCCCGTTTCCGAAAGTATCTTTCGAACCATCTGTATATATCCTCAGATAATTCGGGTAATGTTCGTTTAGGTAATTAATACACATGTTTTCTATGGCCAATACATGGTACTGATGTTTAGGGTTTAGGACTCCGTCTATATTTGGTCTTAAAAATCTGAAAAGTTTAAACTAGTGATCCACTGATCCAGAGAAAACATAACTGTGAGCTTGAGTATATAAAAAGTGATTTGAAGTTGTCATGGATTATTGTTAATAATGGTTTTTTCTTATTATTCCAATACCTGTTTTGAATGGTATCGGACAGGTTAGAGATAAGATTAATGGAAGAGTTATTTAACACGGATTTATTTTTTAACCAGAATTTGCCTGCAAGGCAACGTCTTCTTAAATGTAATGGGCATAAGCTGAGATCGCTTTCCATTACGTGAATAGGGATGCTTGTTATATAACCTCCTATAGTTCTCATTGACTGATTTTGAATCTTTTCTAACTTAAATAAATTAGTCTTACTACTGTTATGATACAAAAAGCTCGCATAATCTAACCGACTTCTTATAATACAAATATAGAGGTTTCGTAAATGTTTAGGGTTGACACCCCAGCCCGAACCTGATAAAACTTTAAATACATTTAAAAATTTTAATACTTTTTTAGATGTTTCCTTTATATATTTATTCCACCGCAGTGATTGATCTAGCCACATTCTAAGGTATTTTACGCTATCTACTACTTACAAAGCAACATCTTTAATTTTTAGACTAATGTTATGTTGTCGACGCCCTCTTGAAAAGGTGCATATTTTACTTTTTAACGGTGAGATATCCAAATTTATATTTAAAAATAAATCATTTAAAATGTCTAATGCCAGTTGCAGTTGATTTTCCGCCTCTTTCAAGTTTTAGAAGTTATAAATATGACGTAATCATCAGCATACTTTGAGATATTAAGATGTGTTTTGGAAATTATAGACTTACATATATCTATTGTAGCTATGTTAAACAATAGCGGAGAAAGTGGATCTCCTTGTGTTAGACCGCGACCTGTACTTCTAGTTATTTTATAACCTATCCCTTCAATTATTAAAAATCTTTGACTTAAAGAAGTCCAGAGATAGTTGCAAAATTTTGCGCCAACATTAAGACGATCGAGGGTCGATAAAAGATAATTTATGTCCACATTATTATATGCGTCTTCTAGGTCTAAAAAGCATGCTACTGTAAAAAGATTTTTGGTAAATCCTATTTGAATGCTTGTAACTAAATCGGTTAAATTATCGTGACAGGAACGTGATTTTCTGAATCCTTTAGTTTCCTCAGAAAGTAGTTTTTTGTTTTCAATATACCACTATATACGGTTATTGATAATGGCATGAAATACTTTATATAAGCACGAAATAAGAGAAATAGGTCTAAGAGATGAAGTACAACTAGTGTTCCTACCCGACTTAGGTATATGTATAATACGAACATGTCGCCATTGGTATGGAGCAAAGCTTTGTGTAAAAAATATATTATAAAGATTGAGTAAAACGTTTTGGCCCACTATAGGTATATTAAGTAACATTGAATAAGAGATATCATCGGCACCCGGGCACATGTCTTTAGATTTTAAACATTTATAAAGCTCCGATCTAGATATTTCGGTTTCTAATTTAGGATTTTGAGATGTGTAACCTGTGTAGGGTTGTCTTACATAGTCAGGGGTTAAGTTGCACAATAATGACTCAGCAATACTTTTTTCAATTTGTGGTTTAGCTGATTTATAAACTTTTAACCACTGCATTTTTCTCCACATTTCAGAAGCTGAAGATATTTCATTCAAGGACGAACAAAATTCCCACCATCCTTGCGAGTTTTTTCCTGCAATCTATTTAAATTAGCCGGTGTGGCATTCTGTCTAAATGTTTTAAGTGCTAGCCGTCTCTCTGCAACAGCGTGAGACAGATCAGGAGGCCAATATGGCTTATGAATAAAATTAGCCTTGAGATTTAGGCATATTTTAACAAATGGAATACTTGCTTCTGCGGCTTTGAACAACAAAGTGATAAAATCATCATAGGCTTCTTGTGGGTTACTTGAAATTTCGAAATGAGCGCACTCCTCTTCTATTACCTGACGATACTTCACCCAGTCAGCTTTTTTTGATGTTCCGTCTTTTATGAATAATAGGAGAATGATTCATAGACATTGAAATCTTAATTATTAGGTGGTCACTACCTAAACACTCGTTTGTATCATTCCAATTAAACTTAAAAGCGATATCAGATGATATAAATGTAATGTCGGGAGCTGACTGCTGTAAGATACCGCCAACTAATTTTAATCGCGTAGGCCTGCCATCGTTTAAAGAAACAAAATTATGGTCTTCTAATGAGTCCAGAATTTGCGTGCCCCTAGAATCGGTTTTATTCGACCAATTAGGGTGAGGTCCATTAAAATCTCCAAGTATTAGAGTCTTTTTATCAGAAAACGAAAATATTGAATCCCAATCACTACATGAAGTTCGAGCACTAGGCGAGCAATATAGAGAAATTATATTTTCAACAATTCCACAATTAGAAATTTTAACGGATATCACCTCAATAACCGCGTTGGCACTTCGCAGTGGAAGCAACTGAGCCGAGAGAGATTTGTGTACTATTAAAGCCACTCCGCCATAAGAGTTCGCCCTATCAAGTCTAAATACATTATATTCTCTAAAGTTAAGTGTTATATCAGGATTCAACCATGTTTCCGAGAGCGCGGCGATATGAATTTTCTCCTGACACAAGAGTTGTTCAAATTCCGCACACTTTGATTTAATACTTTGAGCATTCCATTGCAAAACGTTAAGGCTGACTTTACCTATTATTACCGAGTAAATTTTGTAAAAAAGACAAGTTCGAGATATGTTTAAATATCCATGTGATTATCCATTCAAAAAATAAGTGCACTACATTCTCGATTCTACTTTTTAAAGGCTCATTACTCTCATTAGAGATAAAACTTTTAAGTTGGCTTAATAAATTAAAGAAAGGAATATCAGGTTGTACATTACGATTCTTTTTTTTGTTTTGTTCAGACACTGGTTGATCACATAAACTACTTTCAGACTCTGTCGACATATTGCCGTCATGTATATACTCTTCTAAATTAGGTTCTTGAATTCTTCTCTTCTCAATCTTCTCAGTTGTGTCATTTCGAACAGATTTTTCTCCCCGACTGTCCAGTTTGTTCTTATTAATGGGGCTCGATGACGCGGCCTGTGCGTAAATAACTGGTGTAGAATTCTCCTGAACCGGCAAAATAGAGCTAAAAAACTTATTTGTGGTTTCTGGGATAGGTTCCGGCAATTGAGGCATCTTATTTAAATTATCTAAATGGGGCATTGGCGATTGAGTTGGCACATAAGTAGGTTTTTCGGGCGGTACATACATTGCCATAGCCTTCCTGTATGAAACATTAAATTCAGCCATTATTTCCCATAACTTCTTCTCCTTTATATATTTTGGACACTGACGATTCAATGCCATGTGATTTTTCGTACAATTAATACACTTAAATATTGTTGTTTCGCAATTTTCATGCTTACCTCCATATTTGGGGCAGTATATACGTTTTGAAGGACACATTCTAAGGGTGTGCCCAAAGCGCCAGCATCTCGAACACTGAGTAACAGGAAATAGGTATGGTTCCACCTTAACTTGCATGTCATATATGCACAGATACGATGGTAACGTAGACCCTATAAAACCAACTCGTACCGATTTACTTTCAGTCTAGCCAGATTCTCCATCCCTCTGCTTTCTGCGTTTGAGTCGTTTCACGTTGGCCACCTCAATTGAGCAAGAAATAGATTCTAACAGTTCTTTTTCCGATAGATCTAATTCGATGCTCTTAATTACACCATAAGAGAGTCCTACTTCAAATGGTCGCTGAAAATTCCAGCCCAATTCCACAAGATGATCACACTGTATCATTAAATCAGCATCTTTTTCTCCGGATAGTTCTACAATTATTTTGTATGAATTGATATATTTTACTCGCACAATGTTTAGGTTCTGATTTTTAAATAACTTGGCAAGGGCAATCTGTTTCGGGAACTTCACTTTAGACGTTATACATATTTCAATACTACCTCTTATTTCTTTAGATTTCTCTTTTCTGCTTTTCACTTCTTCCCAATGTCCTTCTTGCTCACATCCTCTAGCTTTTTTTTTGTTCGATTTGCAGGTCCGAAGGCGAAGTATTCCTACCTCTCTTGCCCAATATTTGGCAAGATTTGAATGTTGTTTAGTAGTTTTAATTAAAACATCATGGTTCGGAGTTACTTTAAAGTTATCTTAAATTTATTTAAAAACAGCAACTGTTATATTAAAACTTTTCTTAATTTATTAAAGATGCGTGCATGTATAGTATGTAGTATATCATTTAAATTTAATTTTTAATTTTAGGTAACTAGTTTTACTGTGAATGAAAAAATATGGTTATATACCTACGAATATGTTAAAGACACTTGGCCTAATGATAAATACCCCTACAGAAAAAAGATGACGCAGAAAGCAGCTAGTATTTTAGGTATCGACGTTGCATCTGTATATAGAATCCTCAAGGACTATAAAGAACACGGCGAAATTTCTTCACCTGTCACCACGAAACATAGACCAACGTTTAGTGACAAAATTGATGATTTTACTAAATCAGCCATACGAAAAAAAAGTACATGCTGTCTTTATTAAAGGCGAACTACCTACAGTGAAAAAAGTACTTTCAGGGATTAGGGAAGACGATAATCTATCAAATTTCAAAAGGACTACTTTCCAAAAAATATTAAAACATTTAAAGTTTAATTATATAAAGAGGTGAAGAAATAATGCACTAATAGAAAGAGGTGATATTGTATTGTGGCGACGAAAATAAATAAAATTAAGAAGTACAGAGAGGAGTATCGGCGTATTTTTTATATGGATGAAACATGGCAGAACACAGGTCAGTAATTTTTTTTAAGTTATACACTTATGCGCAAATAGTTTCTATCTTCAGTAGAAATCCTTTGGCGCATAATTTAAATCAAGTATTTCTTCCTGAAAGATTGTGTAAGATTATTATTTGTAGTATTGCCTATGTTTTATTGTATCCTTTATGTTATTTTCAGGTCACACTGTTAATAAAACTTGGGTTGACACCGAAATAAAATTAAAACAGCAAGCGATTTTAGAAGGCCTGAGTACAGGTGCGAAGAATCTTACCCCAAAGGGCCTGCTATTAAACGTAGTCCACATTGGAAATGAGGATGATTTTGTGAAAGAAGTTTCGGTAGCTGGGTGTTTCAATCCAAAGGCACTAGTGATTATCACGAATCAATGGATGCTGCACATTTTGAAAGCTGATTTGCCGCCTTACCACTCAAGGCGACAGGAAATAACACCCAGCTCGACATGGTTGAAGGCTAACATTTAGCAGTGGCTACGTGACACGAATATTATTTTCGATGGAAAGGAAATAAAAATATAATTATTAAATAAAGTAAAGATGGTGAAGAACCAATATCAATTGTACGTCATTCATCATCATCATCATTACAGCCCTTCACAAGTCCACTGCTGAACATAGGCCTCCCCCAAGTAATGCCACAAAGCACGGTCCTGAGCCACCTGCATCCATCGACTTCCTGCATGTCTTACCAGGTCGTCACTCCATCTAGTGGGGGGTCGCCCTACACTACGCCTACCGGTACGAGGCTGCCACTCGAGAACCTTTCTTCCCCATCGGTTATCGGTTCTTCGAGCTATATGGCCGGCCCATTGCCACTTCAGCTTACTAATCCGTTGGGCTATGTCGGTCACTCTGGTTTTACTGCGGATATCCTCATTTCTGAGTCTATCACGCAGAGAAACTCCGAGCATAGCCCTCTCCATAGCTCGCTGAGCGACCTTAAGCGTCCTCATACGGCCAGCAGTGAAGGACCACGTCTCAGATCCGTAAGTCATCACTGGCAACACGCACTGGTTGTACAATCTAGTTTTTAGAGATTGAGGTATACCTGACGAAAAGATATGCCGTAATTTCCCGAACGCTGCCCAGCCGAGTTGAATCCGTCGATTGACCTCTCGGTCGAAGTTGGACTTACCTAGTCGGACTATTTGTCCCAGGTAAACGTATTCGTCAACCAACTTCGAGCATAGTGCTCCCAACAACTACCGGCATAGGTGTGACATGGACATTGAACATCGATCTTTGTTTTGTCCATGTTCATCTTAAGACCTATCCGTTGGGAGGCACTATTGAGGTCATTGAGCATAGTGCTTAAGTCCTCCAGCGATTCTGCCATAAGGATTATATCGTCGGCAAATCGAAGGTGAGTGATGTACTCGCCATTGATGTCAATACCGTATCCTTTCCAGTCCAGTAGCTTGAAAACGTCTTCCAATGCAGCGGTGAAGAGTTTCGGGGATATAACGTCACCCTGTCTTACACCTCTCTGCAGTTGGATAGGTTTCGAGCTCTGGTTCTGTACTCGGATAGCCATCGTAGCCCTACTGTACAAACACTTCAGCACTTCGATATACCGACAGTCAACTTGGCACCGCTGAAGGGACTGTAGCACCGCCCAAATTTCGACGGAATCAAAGGCTTTCTCATAGTCCACATACGCCAGGCAAAGTGGCAGATTGTACTCTTCAGTCTTCTGTACAATCTGCCGCAGGGTATGTATGTGGTCTATGGTACTGAAGCCTTTTCGGAAACCGGCTTGTTCGGGAGGCTGGAAGTCGTCAAGTCTGCGTGCGAGACGATTCGTAATGACTCTCGAACACACGACACAAACAGCACGTAGACGCGGCTCAGAAGGGAAATCGGTCTGTAGTTCTTTAAGAGAGCGTTGTCGCCTTTCTTAAAGAACAAGACCACCGCACTTCTGCTCCACGCCTCTGGAGTAGTGCCACCATGGAGGACGGAATTGAAGAGCTTCTGAAGGACTTCAAGTACCGGTGTTCCACCCGCTTTCAGAAGCTCCGCTGTAATTCCATCCTCGCCTGGGGCCCTGCCGTTTTTAAGGTGCTGGAGAGCCATTCTAATCTCGCTTAGACTGACGTCCGGGATATCATCGGAATAGTGTCGGATAAGACTTGCTCTTGGATCGTTACTCACACTTGCGTGTGGCTCCAACGATGATGTGTACAGCTGCCCATAGAACCTCTCAATCTCACTCAAAATCTCAGGTGTCCCGGAAACGATGTTGCCACACTCAGTCTTCAGCCTTGACAGTTGGCTCTTTCTGGCAGACAGATCTCTGGCAAAGACTTTGGAGCCCTGGTTCCGCTCGATCGCTTCTTTAATACGAGAAGTATTAAAGTTGCGTAAGTCTCGCCGCATGCATTTGAAGATCTGTCTGTTCAGTTGCCTGTATGCTGTCAAATCTGTTGACGATTGCAGCCTCATCTCTCTTCTAACAGCCATGAGATTAAGAGTGTGATCGGAAAGTTTTTGTGTTCTTCTGCGGCGGGTCTTGCAGAACTTAGCTCCGACCGCATGGACAGTTTCCACGAGCTTGTCGTTCATATCGTCCACTGCATTGCAATCTTCTAGGCACTGGAAGCGGTTACGTAACTCGAGCTGAAAGGTTTCGGGATTCTGGATTAGAGCACGAGGGGGGACGGAGCGTTGACTTCATTAGACGAGACCTCTCCAACTTAACGTTTAGGTTCAGTGTGCCTCTAACCATTCGGTGATCGCTGCCAGTTTTCACCCTTGCGATCACTGAGACATCACTGAACAGTTGGCGTCTGGTCGTCATAATGAAGTCAATCTCATTTTTTGTCGAACCGTCGGGGCTCGACCAGGTCCACTTCCTGTGGGGCCGCTTCTGGAAGAAAGAGTTCATCATAAAGAGTCCCTCTTTCTCCATAAAGTCGGCCAGCTGCTGGCCCCTTCGGTTCCGTTGCCCTACTCCAAATTTCCCTACCTTCAGCTCACCGCTTTCTCTTGTGCCCAGTTTTGCGTTGAAGTCTCCCATCAACACCGTGTAGTAGGTTTTGGAGGAATGTATGGCTCTGGAAATATCCTCATACATTTCCTCCACCTCCTCATCGGGATGTGCCGAGGTTGGTGCGTAAACCTGAATGACCTTCAGCGAATACCGTTTGGTGATTCTGAGTATCAGGTACGCGACCCTCGTCGACACACTCCCAATCTTTACAACGTCATTTTTTACAACATCATTTACATTTTTTCTTTACAACATCAATTGTACGTCATAGACAAATTAGCAAGGAAATACGGCGTCGGGGTACTAAGACTTCCACCTTATCACTGCCTATCATCTGTTAGCTTGTAGGCATGTATCTTATAAATAAATAAATTGTGAATTAAACCCCATTGAGTTGATTTGGGCTTCGCTGCGATTTGACCGTACTTTAGAACGCACACAATGACAAATAAAAATTGTTCACGCGTTTTAGGGCTGTCAGTTCGTCTATACTCTATACGCCAGCAACGCCAGTATATAAGTCTATGATATTATCCCATCTTTAACTATATTTATGGCTAGTAAATACTCTGAGGGTTTGTCCGTTATTATTCTCACTTCTGATGTTTGCCCTCTCTTCACTTCACATTTGCCTTTTTTATAAGA